AGCTCTGCATTCATCGGCGGCCTATCCAATTCCCTTGTTCTAGTGCCCTCAGGACAGTCCGAGTTCTGACTCGCGTGTTGGGCCCTCCTACCACTCCCCAAAAAGCCGGCCTCGATGGTGTCATGAATTGTACCTCACCAAGTCATTACAATCTGCCACAGCGGATTTATGGGGCCGGCTGTCTGCCTACTTTGTGCCCGAAAGACAGAGGTAGCGAAAACAGAAGGCTCAAGAACTACCGTCATGTTTAAGTGACCACCTAATCAGCGCCTTCAGATGATGCCAGATCAAGGACGGCAACAGTGAACGCCTGCGAAAGAAATTCGCCAACCGCCTAAGTCATCTCTCTCCTTCTCTCTTGGATGGCCTTGAGACAGCCTTGCGCGATACTGTTACAGTGATCGCGGACTGACACATGCGATTTCGACAGCGTACTTCACCCGAAAGATGGTGATGAGGCAACGCTTGTTAAACATCACTCTGAAGCCTTAGTTGGATGGAAAGTAACCTGGAGAGTCAATTTTATGGCATCAGCACGACCAAAAAAATACTACGCAGAAGACGGTTAATCACCGCAACGACTGACGGAGACTGAATTTGCAGAGAGGACAGTTTGTACTTTAACCATTAAGTGTCGGAATCGTGCCTATAGCACAACTACTCTGTTCAGAAGACGAAATCGAGGTGATTCCAGGCCTCGTCAATTTAATTGTTCAGTCAGGGCGGATGCACCAGCAAATAAAATTGCAGATTCATTTGACCCAATTGTGAAAAATTCGCGGACTCGGTGGGAGTCGAACCCATACAGCAGGGGAGGCTTTTGCGTAGCCAACGCTCTACCATTGCGCTACGAGGCTCACCGTGCACCGTGAATTTAATCACACTTAGATCGATTTTACCAACGTGACAGACGAGACGTCAAAGCCACTCAACGGCAACCCAGTATGTGATTGGCCTCTTTTAGGTCATCGAGGCGACATTTTTCATAACTTTGAATGTAGGTGGGCAGTGACTGGCGTTGCTGACACTCTGATTAGTGTGAGAACGTGCCAAAACATGTACTTGATTCGAGTAGTTCCTGTTGTTGGATTCATCGGCTTCACCGATGTCACGGATATCGGCGGCCGATTGGCGGCAGTAGGAAGCGAATTACTCGCAAATGTCAACCCAGTGCTTCTTCCAGTGTCGAAAGACGTAAACGGTTACGATAGCCATGGGTTCGACGTCTAACTTGACAGTGTTGAGCCATGTCGGTGTCTTCAGTTTGAACTACCAGCGGGACTCACGAACATTCTGCAAAGGTCAGTCGATGGCTTAGGCAGATCATGTCTAGACCATTGCAATCTACGACGCATTCAGTATGCATAACTATAGAGAAGGACGGGCCGGACGGAGGCATGATATACGCGAATTCTCGTCACGGCAATAAAGTTGCGTGGGATCTATGGGCAATTTCGAAGGCTTGAGCAAACCAAACAATCTGTATCGTTTCGGGAGACAATGTATTCCTTACTCTGTCCATTCGGCAGCAGCCCTACACCGACGTATTTAAAACTTGTTTTTCTACTTTAAATTGACAGCCAGTAATCCCTTGAGGTGCCTTATCCTGGTCAGAGGTGCAGTTTTAAAACGCGCTGGTATTTCATACGTCTGCGGATAAACTGACCGACTTATCGACCTTATACACCTGTGACACCATAGACTGCAATTCGGCGGTAATACCATCGGCTCGTCTACGCGTACCACACACGACTTGACATCTAATACAACGCCCCGGGATTTCACAGAACGGGAGTAATATGAAAAAATAAAGGCATTCCAACTAGACTAGAGCTAGACAACTGTACCAAAACAAGATATGACAGCGGAGGAGTGGTTGCTTACCTGAGCGCCACCGTTTAAGTTCAGCCTCGAGTTTTGCAACAAACTCCTTCAGTCGTTTAAACTTCGTCATGAGGCGTTCATAGCGTCGGCGCCATTCATCAGCAGTCAGTTCCTCGTTCACAGTCACGACGTTCTTGATGGATTTCGCGCGCATACCGAAGAGGAGGGTCGAATTCGTCTCACCTCGATTGTACTCCGATGGTGATACACATATGACGATGGTCGTTCTAGCGTTTCCTCCCAGCGACTCCTGTAATATCCTGGTCAACTTTGAGTCTCGGTATGGAACGTGTGCCTGTAGGGTGAAGGAGGCAGTCGGTGAGTAAGAGAAAAAGGTACGATATTTTGGAGGTTTTGCCCCCAAAAAGATGATAACGAAGTGCAAGGCTCATCGCAAGCGGAGGGAAGAGCAGTGGCGGATTGACTGTTAAATTAGTACATAGTGCACTCTGATGCACTTTGTAACTTATCGTGCTAGCAGCCTAGGTACTAGTTAAGTCGCCCAGACACGTGTTTCGCCGGTATTCTGCCGCTGCTTGACACAGCTGCGAGGGTTCCGGCTCATCAAC